CCAGTCGTTGCAGTGGTTCCAGCATTCCAGTCACTGGTTTTATATATTAGATTTATTTTGCATAGAATTAAGTTGCAAACATTACTATTAATACTTTCTTAAAAATATATATTTTATTGATTTCAGAGAGGAGGGGAGAGGGAGAGACAGAAACATCAATGATGAGAGAGAACCATTGATTGGCTGCCTCCTGCATGCTCCCCACTCGGGATCGAGCCCACAACTTGGAAATGTGCCCTTGACCAGAATTGAACCCAGGATCCTTCAGTCCGCAGGTCAACGCTCTATCCACTGAACCAAACCAGCTAAGGCTATTAATACTTTTTATTTTTGCCTTGAGCATATTTATTTTTAAATTTTTATTTAATAAATATTTCTTATTTCTATCTTTAACATCTTGAATGAGAAAATTCATTTGCAATATATAATATCGTTCTTTTCAAACCAACTTACCATTTTATCCAATTTGCTCTTTAAATTATCTCTGTCAATGCAAACCTCTCGATATGCATGATAGGCCTTATTTACTTGTTCTCGTCCCACAGAACTTGTTTCTTCATCTAATAAAGCACCTGTAAGCTAATGATATAAAATAAGAGAAAGCTTAAAAGGGTATTCTACATAAAACAATTAGTCTTCTCATGGCATCACATCTTACTTTAATCACTGTAATACAGGAATAAAGCCTGGACTGTAATAATCTGAACATTTTACTTCCATACAATTAACCTTTACTGATTAAGAAAGCAAAAAAGGACAGAATACTTTTTAACCCTTTGCAGTACAACGTTATTTTTGGAATTCAAACAGTCTGGTCCAAATTAATTGATGGGATTGAATGTTGAATTTTTTAATGTTCTTATTGCTCGACGTTGGACCTGCTCCTAGCGCCTGGTCCAGGGGTCCTCAAACTACGGCCCGCGGGCCACATGCAAATACAAATATTGTATTTGTTCCCGTTTTGTTTTTTTACTTCAAAATAAGATATGTGCCGTGTGCACAGGAATTTGTTCATAGTTTTTTTTTAAACTATAGTTTGGCCCTCCAATGGTCTGAGGGACAGTGAACTGACCCCCTGTTTAAAAAGTTTGAGGACCCCTGGCCTGGTCTGAGTCAGCCTCGAGGTTGGACTGAAAAGGGTTAAAGTATTCTATTTTATGCTTTTACAGTGGAACCTCAGTTCTCAAACTCAATTTGTTCCAGAAAGCTGATTGAAAAAGGAATCATTTCCCCCCCATTAGAAATAATGTAATCTATTCCAGACCCCCATATGATTCCCTGTTTTGTTTTAATCTTATAAGTACCGCGCGCTAACTGATTGCGCCACCGGAGCTCCTGTTTTAATCTTTATTGTACACAGTACATGTCTAATATACTGTTTTCTTTATAAATACTATAAATGCTTTAAAAATGAAAAGGACATTAAATATAAATGAAAATTTAACAAAAAGGAAATGAAATGTACACTAAAAATGAAATTTAATCATAATAAGCAGCAATAAAAGCAAAAATACATGAAAATATTCACAGCACAATTTCCTGAGATGTTATAATGTAAAGTTTAGTGGTAAACTGACTCATAATCGCACATTCTCTCCTTTGTCACCTGAGAGATGAATGACTGATCATACAGGTATCAGCATGAAAGAGTTGTCGGGTTGAGAAGTGAATTGTTCAAGATGGGAGATGTTTGAGAACTGAGGTTTGACTGTACTTATTATACATACTAGAGGCCCAGTGCATGAAATTTGTGCACTCTTGGGGGCGGGGGCAGATCTCTTAGCCTGGCCTGCACCCTCTCACAGTCTGGGAGTCCTTGGGGGATGTCCGGCAGTCAGACATCCTTAGTGCTTCCTCGGAGGTGGGAGAGCTTCCTGCCACCACCACTAAGCTCGCCAGCCGTGAGCCCGGCTTCTGGCTGAGCGGTGCTCCCCCTTTGGGAGTGCACTGACCACCAGGGGGCACCGACGGCATTCAGCATTTGCCCCCGGTGGTCAGTGCGTGTCATAGCAATTGGTCATTCTGTCATTCAGTTGATTTGCTTTTATTATATAGAATTTTATACTTTACAGTATCTTTTTTATAACATTCATTTATCATACTGAAACACAGTACATCATTTTTTTTATAGTCCTTAGGTGTTTTCCAAGTCTTAGTATTTACTTTCCATTATCACAAAAGGTGTCAAGGAAAGGATGGATTAGTTCATTAAATCCTGTATTATTTCAGAATGGTAATTAATAGATTATTGATCACAAACTACAGAAATATTTCCAATGCTAACTAGACCAAATCACAATATTCTTCTGAACTTTAAAACACACACAGCTATGAGCTACAAAATGTTACTTTTTCTCACTTTATCCCAGAATGTCACAAATTCATTTAATCACTATTAAAGTAAATTCATATGAATACAAAGAAATTATGAATAATTTTTACAACTGACTCCTCTTCTCTTATTCCTCCAAAAGAATTAAACTTTATCAAGTTCCATCCTTGAGTTTTCACAAGCAGATAATTTATTTCCTTGTTTGCAAAGGAACCCATTTTCTTCCTCCTTTATTGAAACTGTTGCTTGTGAAATATGAATATGCTGATCTGAAGAAACAAATTAAGCTAAAACTTTAAAACTCAAAAACAAATGGATAAGTGAGGAAAATTTCCTAATACACAAAGCCAAGAAGAACTGATGATTCATAATTGAATCATCTACCTTGCTGTATATTTTACAACATTTAAGAATGTCAGGCTCTAACCGGTTTGGCTCAGTGGATAGAGCGTCGGCCTGCGGACTAAAGGATCCCAGGTTCGATTCTGGTCAAGGGCATGTACCTTGGTTGCGGGCATATCCCCAGTAGGGGGTGTGCAGGAGGCAGCTGATCGATGTTTCTCTCTCATCGATGTTTCTAACTCTCTATCCCTATCCCTTCCTCTCTGTAAAAAAATCAAAAAAATATATTTTAAAAAAAGAAAAGAATGTCAGATTTCTTCAGAAAAAGGTATATAGACCAAATTTTATCAGTTAAAAAGCACTATTCTTGTTATGTGTGTTCAAAAGCAAAAGAATGCTGAGGTAAAGAAGATGTAAGTCCTGGTGAAGATATTATTAAGCATATTATAACACTGTTCCAGGCGCTTTCTCTTTTGACACTTAATTTTCTTTATTGGCTATAACTTTTGCACAGATTTTAAGATCCTGAATAAAAACCATACAATTATGAAGGTAAGGCAATCTGAAAAAGAGGTTAAGAAAAATATCTGACATATATCCCTCCAAATTGCTAAATCCTAGTCTATAAATATTCCCCCAGTACAGGGTATGTGAAACATTGCTATCTATCAGTACAGTACCTAGGGTTTTGAAGTTAGCAGTGAGTTATCCTTGGAAATTTAGTACAACCATGGAAGACAGGACAGAAAAATATTTAATACTTTAAATATTTTCAATTGTTCTTTGGGTCACAAAATGTAATGAAGGTAATAAATAAATACCTTTTCTTCCAAAAATCTTATTCTTTTCTTTAGGAAAGAGTTCTCTTTTTCTGAATCCTTGAGTCGTTTTTTGATGTCTTCATATGCAGTGACAAGGGCAAAATGTGAAGCAACAGACTCATCTGAATATATTGAGACCGGAGTCACTGTATCTCTCCTATGGGCTTTTTCATGATTTAGAATGCAGATATCATCTTCTACCAGTGTATCCATGACAGCTATTTAAAACAGTAAATATATATATTATAAATGTCTCACTGAATAAATGAACAGAAAAAGAAGGAATATTTAGAATAATGTGAATATTGAGGCAATGGTTCAAAATTCCTGTTTGTTTTAGAGGCAGTATAGTATATGGTTAAGAGCATAGACTCTGAAACCAGACTGGGAAGGGTTTGAATCCAAACTCTAATACTTAGTGTCTGTGTGACTTTGGGCTAGTTGCTTAACCTCTCTGCCTCAGTTTCCTTAGTTATAAAGTATAAGAAATAATAACAACTACTTCATAGTTTTTAAGAATATTAAAATAGTTGATATCTAGAAATCATATAAAACCATAATCTCAGCTATTAGTAAGTTTTATAAAAAGTTGTGAAACACCATTTCCAGTCAAAAAACAAACAATTTTAAACTCTTTATACCCATAAATTTTTTCCTCATCAACATTTCCATTCTTAGATATAAACAGCAAGTTTATAGCCTCTCCAATTATAAATTTTCAACACTTTTAGTATAATTCATTACCTTATTATTACAGATATTTTAATGCATACTCCACTATATTCTTTCCATACCAGTAACTGATTATATTTGTTATACATTCAAAGTAGAAGACAAAGAAATTAACATTTGGGTGTCCACTATGTCAAAGTACCATGTACTACATTATTTTAATATTATCTTATTTAATTCATCCATATAATTCTATAAAACAGGCATCATCTACATTTGGTTAGAATTTGAAGGGTAAAGCAATTTGTTCAACATTAAATCTAGTAGAACATTAGCTTTGTGACAGCAGAGGTTATGGCGTGTTTTTTGCTTATCATTGTGTCCCCAACTCATCACTGTGTGGAAGATACTCTATTGAATGAAGAATGGTAGAGGTAGGATTCAAATCAAACTCTGAGTCTAAAACCTAAAAGAAGCCAATTACTTAGTTAAAATATACTCACTCTTTACATCTACTTTTGTTGTTAGATTCAGCGTTACTTCCCCACCTGAGTTATGTTCCTGAAAAAACATGATGAAAAGAGAAATAGTAGCTGAAACCTTTTAAGATCTCATGGGAAAGACAAGGTAAGAGGGACTGTAGGCCATAAAAGAACCTAAAAAGTCCTTTAAATTAAGACACCAAATACAGCATTCTAAATGAGGACTCTCAATGGTGTTTTATGTATATTAGATTAGTAATTAATTGATGCTTGAAAAATGTTTTTATTTACCAGTCCTTGCTTGAGATAACATTTGATTGCTTACTAGTGTCAGTCACTGTTCTAAAAGTATTATAAGTGAAGAAACTGATGTAGAAGAAATTTAAGTAATTTTCCATAGTAACACAGTAAATGGAGAACTGAGATGTAAACACAGGTGCAGAATCGGTTTCACTATGCCTGCATTTTATGGAGGTTTCATTACATAATAGGCATAATCCAGCCCCTCTCCACTACCCTGAGGTCTGTAAGTTCCAACCCTCTAATCAGATGGGTGGTTCTCCTGGCAACCAGCCACCATCCTCGGGGTGCTGTCCAAAAGTCATCTCATTAACATAAACCCAGTCCTGTTGGAAAAGGCTTGTTATACCCGTAAATAACAAGACACCCATTTCACTTTTATGGCTGTGATGTGATTTCGGAATTGAGGATGGGACCAAATAGAGGGGAGGGCAAAAGTAGGTTTATATTCATGAGTATGTGAAACAGTTTATTCTTGTATTATTTTTAATTACTGTAGTATGTATTTGTATTACAACTGTAGAGCTACTTTTGTTCACTCCTGTATTATGACAAAAGATGCTCTCATAGTTTTTATCCCTCAGTAAATTCCAAGGGTTTTGAGAGCTGTGATAAATGAAAAATATTATTTTGGTTACCCGAATGAGCAAATATATTTCTTATAAAATCACATATTGCAATAATAATGGAGAAAGAAGGACACAATTTGCCAGATCAGGTGGATAGGAAAAAGAACAGTAGTTCTTAAGGGTAGGGGAGAGATATAAAGAAAAAACTAGAATCAAACATTGTTAATCAGAATTATTTTTAAAAATCTTAAATTTCAGTCTTCACTACAGTTAACACTGAGAGGACCCTCAGTTGAGATATGCTACATATGCTGGGTGCGAGACACTAGAAAACAAAGAAATACCTTCTGACACCAGACTGGTCTTTTTTCTAGGAATAAATATGATTATCTTCTCATATTTCATCATCATAATATCTACCATTAATTGCTCACTTACTGTATGCCAGGCTTCCACATGCATTTTTTTCTATTTAGTACTATTATTCTAATTTATATACAAAGTCTTAGAAACATTAAATACTTTAATAACAGATACATAACTAATCAGTGGCAAAGCTGGGATGTGAACCCAAATAAGCTTCCAAATTTATATCCTTTTAAAAAATTTTTATTGATTGATTTTTTTTTTGAGAGAAAGGAACATTGACTTGTGGCTCCAGCCATCCATGCACTCATTGGCTGACTGCTGCTCTGACTAGGGATCAAATCCCCAACCGTGGCGTATGGAGACAACACTCCAACCAAGCTACCCAGCCCGGGCCAAATTTATGCTTTTCCTTTTTTAAAAATTTTTTTTTATTGATTTCAGAGAGGAAGGAGAGGGAGAGATAGAAACATCAATGAGAGAGAATCATTGATCGGCTGCCTCCTGCATGCCCCCTACTGGGGATCAAGCCCGCAACCTGGGCATGTGCCCTTGACCAGAATTGAACCTGGGGCCCTTCAGTCCCCAGGCTGACACTCTATCCAATGAGCCAAGCCAGCTAGGGCCAAATTTATGCTCTTAATACAACATTCTGAGAGGAAACAGCGTGGAATCTGATATTACCAAAAATAATCTGGACAAGGCAGAGCTCAGTGGTAGGTAGACCTCTGGCCCAAGATTCAGAAATCTAGGTTCTAGTATACAATCTGATGCCTTGAGTATTACTTTACTTACCCAGATCTAAATTTTCCCACCAATAAAATGATAGGGTTGAACTACATCACTAAGACGCCACCTTCCTAAATTGTGAAGGCAAAATTTTAATCTGAACATGGGATGGCAACCTACAGATATAAAGGAATTCACATTTTTGCCAGAAACTGAGTAAAAGGTATGTAGTACTAGTCCACACCAAACTTGGCTAGAATGATGACTACCAGATAAGAAAACGGAGGCTCAGAGGTGAGGTAAATTTGCCTAAAATCACTGACAGTATGTGACAGGTAGGGTTTAAATAAAGGCCCATTGTTACTTTCTTTTTTCTATTCTATATTACCTTTTTTTTCTTCCTAAGTTTTTTTTATTGTTAACAATATTGCAGATGTCCTCCTCCCTTTGCCCACCTCCACCCAGCACCCCCACCTTCACACTATTGTCTGTGTCCATGGGCTGTGTGTGTGTGTGTGTGTGTGTGTGTGTGTGTATATATATAGCTAATCCCTTCACCTTCCTTTATCCAGTTTCCCTCCCACCCTCTAAACTTTGTCATTCTGTTCTGTTTATCTTGTTCATTAGATTCCACATATTAGTGATATCAATGGTATTTGTCTTTCTCTGACTGGCTTACTTCACTTAGCATTTCCATCATGTTTCTACCTCTGAAAAGCCAGACTAGCCCTTCATAGAGTAGTCAAGATACTATGGAGCAAGAATTAAGTCTTATAGAAGACCAACACTCCTTTCTCTATTTTAATGAATAATTAGAGGCAGGAATGGCCTAACTATTTTATAAAGGAGTTATCAGTGCCTTTTTTCAAGATACTGTCATTCTATCTATGTATCTCAGCACTCAAACGCCCTATAACTTAGTGAGTGCCCCCAAATGTACTTAGCACCAGATATACATACAGTATGAAAAACTTCCTTCTCATTTTTATAACCCTCACTGATTTATCTCACTAACTGTGTCAGTCCCGAAATGAACTTGCATGCCCAGGAATCATAAGAATTTTTTGGGGTTAACATAGGTATAAAGAGCAGTCAACTTCTTTTCCTTTCATAAAATAATACATCTCAATGTAATTGAGCACTTATGTAGTACACTAAATGTTACTAGTGTTAGCAATGAGTATTCTCTAATAGTGATATGACAACTATAATCCAGAATATAAATACTACATTGGCTCTGTTCATGAATTATGGAAAATGTCACTTTTTATTAATCATGACAGCTTCTGTATTGGTAATTAATATTTACCAAGTGTTTATAGTATGTCAGGCAATACGCTTTGCCTTTGAGGGAAACTGTCTTATTTTTAACGATTCATTAAATCTACATTAAGACCTCTGAAGAGGGCAAGAAATTCCTCTTATCACCGGTGGAGCAACTGAGAAAGACAAAAGTGGGAGCCAGAAATGAAAATCAACCAGTTGACTCCAGAGCCAGCAAAACTCGTAGAAACTTTGCTTTGGTACCTTGGAGAGTAATCCTTAATACCACTGGAGAGGCAGAGAAAATGGAGAGATTTAATCTCTTACCCAGCGTCAAGTGCACAAACAGAAAAATCAGCACGCAGATCCTGAGTGAATGTTCTGACTTAATCCAGTGGATTTCCCATGACACTATACTGTCTCTTTAAATTAAAACTTTACATTTGTACACAACTCCCGATTTTAGAAACAGCGCATTAAAAGTCTGTAATAACCCTGTGAGGGATGCACAGCTCCTAGTTTACACATGCTTGTAGTGAGTGATCACAACAGGTTGGGAAACTCGATATGGCATGTTTAGAGAACTGGAATTTAAATTATGCCGCGAGATCTTGCTCAATCCAATTTAAAATTACAAAAACAAAATAGCGTCTTCCACGTTTAAGAGGCACGGGTCAATTCCAATCCTCGTACGTCACTGTCTTTTATCATCTTAGCATTTTTCTAACAACACATCCTGGAGCGATCTTTGTTTTCCTCTGTTCTGCAGTTTTCCCGAGTCTCTTGTTTGAGTTCCCTGACGTAGGGCCGCGGTCTCTGCCTACCTTGCATGTTGCAGTCACTCAGCAAAAGGTCGCAGACCGTACAACGCACAGGGGCGACACTGGAGAAACGAAGAACACCTACTGCCGACCTCGACAATGTGCAGGGGTGAAGTCCACTGCTCGGGCGCCCCAGGCAGTACCGCCCTAGCCCCATGTCCCTCTTACGTTTTAGACATAAAAGCAGTCTCCATGAATGAAATAAAACCCAATACGTTCCCGAAAGTCAGAGTCCGGAACGAAAATAAGGAGAAGTAAAGCGAAGGACCAGGATGGGCCTGGAACAGCGCGGGTGCGAGGCTGGCAGGGGGCAGGGATGCCCAGGCGTGG